TCCCCCACAGCCATGCCGCTGCGTGGACAGGGCTCTGGGCGTCACGCTCCTGCCAAGCAGAGTGGTAGTGTGTCTAGCTCCGGCTGGCTGGTGTGGCTGCCAGACATGCTGCTCTGAGCGGCATGGTAAGGGGACCGGGGGGTTGGATAAGGGGCGGGGGATTCTGGGGGGCAGTCAGGGGACAGGGAGCAGGGGGGAGTTGGATGGGGCGGAGGTTCTGGGGAGGGGGTGGTTAGGGGCCGGGGAGCAGGGGGGATTGGATAAGCATGGGAGTCCTGGGGGGCCTGTAAGGGGGCAGGGGTATGGATAGGGATCAGGAGATGGGGATTGGGGGGTTGGATAGGCGTGGGAGTCCCAGGGGGCCTGTCAGGGGGCAGGGGTGTGGATAGGGGTCAAGGCAGTCAGGGGACAGGGAGCAGCAGGGGTTGGATAGGGGGTGGGATCCCGGGGGGGCGGTTAGGGGCGGGGGGTCCTGGGAGAGGGTAGTCAGGGGACAAGGAGCAGGGGGGGTTGGATGGGTTGGAGGTTCTGAAGGGGGCAGTCAGGGGGCAGAAAGTAGCAGGGGGCTGATAGGGGGTGGGGGGCAGGCTGTTTGGGGAGGCACAGCCTTCCCTACCCGGCCCTCCATACAGTTTTGCAACCCCAATGTGGCCCTCGGGCCAAAAAGTTTGCCCACCCCTGATCTAAATCATTGATGAAGATATTGAACAGAACCGGATGGACCCTGAGTCTGATTCAGCATGGTAATTCCCAAGATTCTAAATAATAATAATAATTTGTTTCTAAACAATAAGAAATGGGCGAAGAAAGGTATAGGAAATGTTTTAAGATGCACATAACTAATCTTTGGAGGACTCATGAGTTTCTCAACTTGGATGTCCGATATACCTGTAAGGGTTTTTTATTGTTGTTTCTGACAGAAATTGCCATCCTGAATAGTCCAGATTTTATCCTGATCCAGAATCCATGTTTTCAGTGCATCTCTTCTTCCTTCATAATTATCTTCACATTGGAGCTAAATAGAAATATTTTTTCAAATCAGACTGGTTCAGCTTCTATAGAGAACTGTTCCTTCTAGAATGAACAATGGGACTGATACTGAAAACAACCAGAACTGTGGCAGTAGGAAAACCACTTCACCCTACTCCTTCCCCTCCTCAAAATATGTTTTTTGTACTTTACCTCCCAGGACTAATAAAATCATTCAGCAACAATTCAGTCATTTAGACCAACACCTATAAAATAAGTGTGCTATAATGACGTTCTAAAGCAATTAAATTATTTTTTAAAATACTGTAAAACTATCCTAACTGCTGTTGCTAATTAATCTAATGATAAATAAATATATGTGGGAGAAAGCAGAAGTCAAGAGGTTACACATACATACACGTTTTCCTTTGAAATGATAACTACATTATTGCCTCTGGTAAACAGATTAAAACACGTGCACACTTCACATTTCTGTAGTTGATTTGTGGCAGATATAGATGTACTCTGTATGGTATAAACAACTGATTTTCTGCAATGATTTTGCAGGCCATCACTTCACTTCAACTGCAGAAGTAGTACATGGACTGCCTGACCACTGCAGACTATGTTTGTTTACAGACTAAACATTTGCGTAGTGCCATAAATTATTGTTGGGGCCGTTAGTTGCAGCATCTGGTGGATAGTGATAAAGGTGTTTTTCTCTAGTTTTTGGCTGTGCTCAACTGAAGAGATCTTGAGTTATTAATAATACTCAGTAGGCACAAAGCATTTTAACACTTCCATTAAGAAATTAATGTGCATCATGTGATATTTCATGACAGGCTGGTGCGGGAAAGGAGAGAGGACAACTGAGCCAAAACAAGAAGTTATAAAAATAATTAGAAACCTCAGCAAAATCAGTGCCTCTAATTTGCCTAGATGCATATCCATACGTTTGGGAAACTATCACAGTCTTCTGTTAGTTTCTCCTCATCTGGAACTAATTAAAATTATTTGTTTTTATTTAGTTAGCACCAGCACTGTCCTCATTACTGTACCATACCCTAAAAGAAAGACAACCTCTGTCTGTGATGGGGCCACTCACCTCACGTGCGTGCCCCTGCCAGCTGGGTGTGTCTGCACCTGCACTCTTTCAGCTTTGCTCTGCTTGCTGTGACCCCTGTTGATAGTTAAAATTCTTGAGCAGGTTTTCAGTGATTTGGACCTCAAACTGAGTCACATACAGTCTGCAGGTGTACAAACAAAACAGACCCCTTCCAGGGCACAAGTCCAACGGGGCCTGTCATGGTGCCCTCTGTTATGTCCTGATCCATTAGCCTCAGCCCCTCATGGGCTATCTTCCAAACTGTCTCTCAGTCCCTCCTGGGCGAGCTTCCAATGGTACTGCTTTATTACGGAGCAGTGCCGCAGGGTCACTCCCTGGTGATTCTTCACTTTGCAGTGTTCCTTCCTGACCCCAGCTCTCCAGTTCAGTTTAATCCTCTTCAGGAGATAACACGGTTCAATTAAATGCTGACCCTCTTTGGGGTCTTCTGCCCCCTTCTCTGGGCTTACATAAGAATGGCCATGCTTGGTCAGACCAAAGGTCCATCCAGCCCAGTATCCTGTCTGCCGACAGTGGCCAATGCCAGGTGCCCCAGAGGTAACAGGTAATGATCAAGTGATCTCTCTCCTGCCATCCATCTCCACCTTCTGACAAAGAGAGGCTAGGGACACCATTCCTTACCCATCCTGGCTAATAGCCATTAATGGACTTAACCTCCATGAATTTATCTAGTTCTCTTTTAAGCCCTGTTATAGTCCTAACCTTCAGAACCTCCTCAGGCAAGGAGTTCCACAGGTTGACTGTGTGCTGCGTGAAGAAAAACTTCCTTGTATTTGTTTTAAACCTGCTGCCTATTAATTTCATTTGGTGACCCCTAGTTCTTATATTATGGGAACAAGTAAATAACTTTTCCTTATTCACTTTCTCCACACCACTCATGATTTTATATACCTCTATCATATCCCCCCTTAGTCTCCTCTTTTCCAAGCTGAAAAGTCCTAGCCTCTTTAATCTCTCCTCATAGGGGACCAGTTCCAAACCTCCAATCATTTTAGTTGCCCACCCAGTACTCTGGGTCCCAACCCTGGGACCCTATAAGTAGCAGCCACGGGCTGCGTCCCTTTAGCTATTTGCTGCTGTGTTTCTGTGGGCCACTTCTCTTCTTAGCCCTAGCACTTTCAGCTGCACCCTTATCTCAGGGCTGAAGTCTTGCTTGAGTCCCAGTCATCAGCCAGGAGCACCTTCCTTGCTCCTCTGGCTCCAGCAAACAACTGCTCTGTCCAGGTAGTGCAACTCCTGCACCTAGCCAGGAGCACTGTCCTTGCTCCCCAGGGTCCAGCCAGTGACTAATCTGCTCTGTCCAGCAGCTCCTTTTATATGAACCCACTGGGCTCTGATTTGCTGCTTCCTGCAGCCTCTCTCTGATTGGCTGTTTCCCCACAGCCTCTCTAGGCAGCCTGGAGGACCCACCTCTACTGCTCTTTCCTAGAGCTGGGTGTGGTAGGACTAACAGTTTTCCAGCAGGGGGCCTCAAAGGGCCAGATACACCTCATTACAATGTCCAATGAGCTTACAATCTAAAAGATAGACACAACAGGTATGTCTACATTTAATTTTGTAGGTTAGGTTTTAAAATATGTTAATTAAAAATACAGTGGTGAATATAAGGGCTGGCATGACGCAAACATTTGTTGTTAGGTGTGTTTTTAAACTGAAGCGTGTAACCTAGGGTTAAAAATGGCTAACAACAAAGTTTCTGTCCTGGGACAAGTGTTTGTGTAGTGTCTACACTAGAATTAATAATTGTGTTAGTTAGCACTGGTTTAATGATTACTAAAAAATTCCAGTGTAGACATAACTAAAGAAGACATGACGCACTGGAAAATCCATAGATCGAGTTATGTAATTAATGCATGTTTTGTCCGATGTTCCTTTTCCTCCTCCATTCCCTCTCAGCACAGTGAGTTGGATCTATCTACTGAGTGAATATGTTTTTTGGCCCCTCTTGGAGCAGCCAGCCCACCAAAGTTCCAGTCTTACCAAGCAGGTGCTTGGGGCGGCCACTTCGGAGAGGGGCGGCATGTCCAGCTGTTCCGCGGCAATTTGGCAGACGGTCCCTCACTCCTGCTCGGAGCGAAGGACCTCCCGCCGAATTGCCGCTGCAGATCGCGATCGCGGCTTTTTTTGTTTGTTTGTTTGGCTGCTTGGGGCGGCCAAAACCCTGGAACCGGCCCTGGTTGTTGCTTCCATTCTTGGCAATGAGGTCCTTCATATTGTTGGTCATTAGCCTCAGTAAGTTCCCCTTATTCAGGTCAGGCATATGATTTAATTCTGTTATAAGTCTGGTACCAGGACTTTGATGAGGTTGGGTTTGCCTTCCTTTACTCAGCTCCTCTGCAAAGCATACCTCAGTGGCAAATATCTGCAGTCTACAACCCCCTCAGCCCACAAAAGAGAAAAAGGGAGGTGGGTAATAGCATTCAGGAATTTGGGGCAGAGTGTTCTTTGGAAATGGGTCCCTTTTATCCAACTTTCACTCTTAGTCCCCTTCTTTTAGGCCTCTACTACCACACAGGGGTCAGGACTTCTATTTGGATGTACAATATGGCTTTTCTTTTGTTTTCTTACTTCTCACTAACCTCAATTTAGCAAACCAGAAACTGTATGATTGTGTGACATTATTGGCTTTCTGGGCTATGCCATAGAATTTGAGTGCCTTGCCTCTTTATTCCATTCCCAATTTCATCAAATGCACAGAAACTGCAGATCAGTTGAGCAGCTGTAGGATGGTTAGGTAGCAAGTCCAGTCTGAAAGATCAGTGATTCTAGTTGTACACCTTTCTATTCAGAGTCTTCAAAAAACACAGACAAAGTAATTTGCTTTTGAACTGTATGTTGCTTAATTTCATTGTGCTATGCAAACTATTAAAAATGCTTTTAACACTTGTATTTTGTGTGTGTGTAGCTAAAAACTCCACATGCAACATTTACTCTGAGTTTGAATGTGGAAATGGTGAATGCATTGACTATCAACTAACCTGTGATGGCGTTGCTCATTGTAAGGACAAATCGGATGAAAAACTATTTTATTGCGGTAAGTGTTCTCAAACATTGTTGCTTCAGCTTCTTAATTTGGCTTCATAATTATTCATATTAAATGCAATGTCTTTCAAATTGTTTTTATATTGATTGGCTTATATTTAGTACAATGAATCCCAAGGTATGTTATGTCATCCATTTCTGGTCTTAAAACAAAAACAAAAAGAAATCCACCTTACCTAAATCTGAAAATCTTCCCCTACTTATTCTCAGCCTTACTCTGGTGATGTAGATTTATCTTTCACTTTTAAATACAATTCTATTAAAATCGTCAGTGATTGAAAATAGGAAAACACTAGTTTGGAAGTATTATAAAGTACAAAGATGATAAAAATCTCCCCACTACAGTTCTTTCTAACAGTTGATAACTCCGTTATCTTCTGCCAAGCAGATCTATATCCTGGATGGGTAAAGGGGTTATCATTCCTTCTCCATCCACATCCATATGGTGGGAAACTATTGTTATTCTTCCACCACATAATCTGTTGCTTCCTGTCTGTCCCAACAGCCAAATTGCTCATCCACACCATTGTAATATCCAGCTTTATCTACCACAATCTGTTCCTCTTACATATCTGATACTCACTTTGCCAACTCCAGTCTGTCCAGAATGTTGTTAGCAAAACACTCTTTCCCACCCATGTCACCCTCCTTGCTGAGCTACTGCATCATCCCATTATTTTGTACATTAAGTTAAAACTCCTTGACATTCAAAGCTGTACATCATGAAGCCCCTGCCTACATATTGGTCTCATGATGTGTCACTCCTCATCCTCTTCACTCCATCAGTAATGCCATCCTTAATATCCCTTTAGTCTCCTCTTATAAACTTCTTCATGCCTTCATCTATACTGTCCCTTAAATTTGTTAAACCCTCCCCAAACCTTTGTATCAAGTCACTTAGAATCATAGAATCATAGAATATCAGGGTTGAAAGGGACCTCAAGAGGTCATCTAGTCCAACCCCTGCTCAAAGCAGGACCAATCCCCAACTAAATCATCCCAGCCAGGGCTTTGTCAAGCCTGACCTTAAAAACTTCTAAGGAAGGAGATTCCACCACCTCCCTAGGTAACCCAGTCCACTGCTTCACCACCCTCCTAGTGAAAAAGTTTTTCCTAATATCCAACCTAAACCTCCCCAACTACAACTTGAGACCATTACTCCTTGTTTGGTCATCTGCTACCACTGAGAACAGTCTAGATCCATCCTCTTTGGAATCCCCTTTCAGGTAGTTGAAAGTAGCTATCAAATCCCCCCTCATTCTTCTCTTCTGCAGACTAAACAATCCCAGTTCCCTTAGCCTCTCCTCATAAGTCATATGCTCCAGCCTCCTAATCATTTTTGTTGCCCTCCGCTGGACTCTTTCCAATTTTTCCACATCCTTCTTGTAGTGTGGGGCCCAAAACTGGACACAATACTCCAGATGAGGCCTCACCAATGCCGAATAGAGGGGAATGATCAGATCCGTCGATCTGCTGACAGTGCTCCTACTTATACAGCCCAAAATGCTGTTAGCTTTCTTGGCAACAAGGGCACACTATTGACTCATATCCAGCTTCTCGTCTATAATTTGGTGATTAGGGCACTCACCTGGGTGGTGGGAGACCCAAGCTCACATCCCTGCTCCAATGACTTAAATTATTTAGCCTTGGTGGAAAAACTTTAATAGGAGATTAAGGGAAATCCTACCCTGAATATCCCATAGCTCAGTGGCTATGGCACTCATGGAGACCCAAGTTCAAATCCCTTCTCCAAATCAGGCAGAGGTGGGAATTGGACCTGGGTCTTCTCCACATCAGGTAAGTGCCCTAACCACTGAATTAAAAGTTCTAAGGTCACCATCATGACTTCCTCTTCCATATTGTAAATGGCGCCTAAGTCCAGAAAAAAATGGTAGTACCTATTTCGCAAATTCATTAATAGTTTCGGTTGATCTGAAACTGTATTTTTTCAGCGAATAAACTACTCACTTGAAAAATTTCACAAGCTCTACTATTCACACGTGTAAAATTAAGCATGTTACAGTATGTCTACTCTGCAAAGAAAAATCCACAGTGCAGAGTCTCAAAGCCTGGGTCAATTGACTTGGGCTCAGGCTGTGAGGCTAAAAATAGCAGTGTAGACATTCCTGCTCAGGCTGAGCCTGGGTTCTGAAACCCAGCGACGGGGGAGGGTCTCAGATCCCAGGCTCCGGCACAATGGGAATGTCTACAGTGCTATTTTTAGTCCTGCAACCCAAACCCAAGTCAGTTGACCTGAGCTCTGAGACTTGGTGCCGTCGTTTTTTCTTTACAATCCATACGGATTTACTCCTTGCATGAATATACTTTCATATTGGTCAGTTTAGCTACCCTCTCAACTCTAGCATTTGATAGTAATATATTTTCTATTATTTTAATTTACCTTCATTATGATTGACAAGATGTATGTAGTGACATTGGCTTCTGAACAAATTCAGCATTTTTTCAGTTTCTACGTGAGCAGCAGTGTTTGTGTATTCCACATAAACATAGTTATATTGTAAAGAGGTTAGCCGGGGCTTATCCCTCTCCGGGGCAGTGGGGAGCCACACCGCCTCACTACACACTGTTGATGTCTTGGGGGAATTAGTCCGGCCACAGAAGTCTCCCTCGGCGGCCCTTGCAGCAACTGAAATAAGCACAGTCAGCCCGGGCCCTAGGTCAGGGTGGGGCAACAGTGAGTGAGGTGCTCAGGCCCTCAGGCAGGGGCTGAGCAGTAGTAATACAAACAGTAGCAATAAGCTCAGGCCCTGGGTCAGGGCGGGGCAACAATGAGTCAGGCGGTCAGGCCCTCAGGCAAGGCTGATCAGTAGCAACGCAAACAGTAGCAATGAGCCCAGGCCTCCAAAGGACCTGGGAGAGGGGGAGACTGCCACCCGCGCGTTGGGTGGCAGGGGGGGACACAAGCCCTCTCACTCCACTGCGTCCCAGCCCGGGGCCCTAGCAGCAGCAGAAGACCTGCTGCTGTGTCAGTGGGGATCCTGGCCGCAACACACGGATATGGGCTCTGGTAGTGTTGCAGCCAGACTAGGGTCGGCTGCCCCGGGCTACTTCCAGACTCTCCTACTGGTGGTACCTGGGTCACGGTGGTGTCCTCCAGGGGGTCCAGCACCATGGGTTCCTCGGGGTAGTTGGCGAGAGGCAGATCCGGCAACTCCTCCGGGTAGCGGGCATGGGGCAGGCCTGGCAACTCCTCTGGGTAGCGGGCGTGGGGCAGGTCAGGCCAGTCCTTGGGTGCACCTAGGGCTGCAGGGGCTTCCCAGTTGCGGGCCAGGCCGGATATTGCATATGGCCTCCCTGGCAGCTGTCTCTCCAGTGAGTTCTGAGGTTGAGCCTTTGTACTTCCGGGGCGCCGCCTGACCCTCTGAGGGACGGGCTCCCTAGCTCTGCCCACTCCAGTGTCCAGAAGGGCTCGTCCCTCTCCGGGGTGGCGAGGAGCCACACCGCCTCACTACATATATTTATAACAGAATGGTGTTTTAAACAAATTAATAAAAAAAATAAACTGTTACCATCACAAGATGTTGAACATTGAAAGTTAAGGTTATCTTTACGATTCTTTTTTCTGTAGGTAGAGGAATTAGAATATTTGACTGGTTTATGTGTTTGTCCATCAACTTCTTTCAGTTGGACAATAAATGATTAGTTTCACATATTTTTTTATAACTTACCGTAAACATTTCTGAAGGAAATGTCTCTGGGATGTTTGCTTGTTTGTTTAAATTAAATATTTATTATTTGTGTAAAATTTCTACATACAATGTCTATTACATTTACTTTACCAGAAAACAGAAGCTGTCGGAGAGGTTTTAGGCCTTGTTACAATCGCCGTTGTATTTCAAACAACAAAATGTGTGATGGCACAAATGATTGTGGTGACAACTCTGATGAATTGGACTGTAAAGGTAAATGCCAGCTGCTTCTATCTATCTATGTCTAGAATGTATGTGTAATTTTGGGTGGAATTATACTTTTTATTTGTTTTTATTTGTGTGTTTTGGCTCTAAACCAAATGTCTGTGCATGCACTAGACTGAGAGAGAGATCAGGAGAAACATTACAATGCTTGCTGACGCCTGTGAAATAATCCTGGGTAAGTGTAGGTGAAGCTCCATTCCTTCCTTCTCTCCCTTTTCTGCTCACGAGACCCAGATGCTGTTCCACAGTGATGGCTCCTGTATAAATCATATTAGATGAAAAGAAGTGATGTTAAAAGAGTGGAACCCAGCCAAAAAAATTGACAGATGGGAGAGCCCTAGATTTAACCAAGGTTGTATCCTAGAGTGTCTATGTTTGCATGTACAATTGTGTTTACTTGAACTAATTGGGAATCACTTAACTTGTGTTACACCATTACCAAAACCTCTAATCCAGTCATAGTCTATGTGACTGTTATTAGGGTTGGACAGATAGTGGCTAAAAGCCCCCACCTACTTGTGGGATGGGGCTTTGTGGCAGTGGGAACGTCCAGGAAAAATTGTGGCAATGTGTGTTGTGGCATCTTTGTTATACTGGGTGTCAGTATGTCATGTTCTCTATTCTGGATCTGGGCAGCTTTGCTAGATGAAGAGAAAAGATAATGCTGCTGGTTGCACCAGCCATAATCAGTGTCAGTTCTTCCCAGCCATGTTGCAGTTTGGCTCTGTGCAAAGCTTATTGGAAAAAAATATTTTTAAAATACATATGCTATAAATATTTTAATGTCCTTTTAAAAATGTTAGTGAATATAAAGAAGTTGATAACCAACACAAATCCTGAGTTATGTTTCAAAAGAGATATAATTATGACAAAATCTCTAGCCAGAACCATCAGAGCAAAACCTTTTAGATATTAGTTTTGCATTAATTTGCATATTTTTGTAATCACTTACATGAATGCCAATTCAGAAAGAAGGAAGGAAGGGATGGTGTATGTATGGGGCAGGGGAGAAAGGCACAGAGAAGGGGGCAGGGAGTGATAAAATGTGGTGCCGCAGAAAAGGATGGGGAAGCAATGAAGCGAACAGGGAGAAATTATTAATTGTAGGACAGAGAGGCCAGAACTCAGTTCATTCTGTGGAAGGAGGTAAGGAGTTCAGAGGTTTGATTAACTGGGGCCAGTGCTTCTCACCTTCAGCAATGGAGGAAGGGCCCTCATACTTTTCTGTGTGTCTCCCCTCCATTCTCCTGTGTCTTCCATATTGACTTCTTGCTTCTCCTCTTTCCCTGCTCCCTAACTCCCTGTAACAGGACAGCACCCGTCTCTTGTGAGTGCCCCCTTCTGGTTGGGTGTGTTTGCAATCTTTCAGTTCTAGTGACCCCTCTTGGTGGTTTCTCAGGCAGTTTTTCAGTGAGTCAGCACTCCGGCTGAGTTTCACATACTGTCTGTGAATCAGAACACACCCCTTCTGGGGTATACCATCTTTAACTTGTCCCTCCCCAGGTATGGGGCTGTACCACCAGGGCTTCCTCTCTCGAGACACTGTCTTCTTGCAGCCCTCCCTGGACTCAGTCCTTACTCAATCCCAGCAGCCAGTCAGGAGGTCCTTTGCTCCCTCGGTCCCTGCTCGCAGCTGTGTTGGACTCAATCCCAGCAGCCAGTCAGAAGCTCCTTCTTTGCTCCCTCGGTCCCTACCAGCAGACTGTCCTGGGCTCAGTCCCAGCAGCAAACCAGGAACTCCTTCTTAGATCCCCTGGTCCCTGCCCACACTGAGCTGTCCATGGTCCTGCTGCTCTTTCAGCCAGCCGGGAACACAGGACTCTCTCCTCCAGCTCCAGGCAGCAACTGACTACTGCTGTGTTCTGCAACTCCTTTTATATGGCCCTACTGGACTCTGAATGCCTGCTCCCTTCAGCCTCTCTCATTGGCTGCTTCCCCACAACCACTCTAGTCCGCTTGGAAGATTCTCTTCTTGTCCTTTCCTGGGACAGGGTGTTGCAGGACCATGAGGCCTCCAGCCATGTGCCTCTGGGTCTACTCCACCCTGTCGCACTCCCCCCCCCATCACCAGTGTTTCACTCTGTGCCCTGCACACTGCCTATAGGCTAGGGGGAGTTACAGCTATGGTAGGGGTCTCTTCTAACCCTCCCTCCCAGGCTTGGGTCAAGGAAAGGGGCAGCTGTAATGAGGTGTGTTGAGCACCTCCCACCCCATGCCTGGACTTGCAGGAGCAGAGTGTGGAGGGGGAAGGAGAGCTAACAAACTTTCTTACAGGAAGGAGGGAATAGACCCCCTCCCCCCGATAGCTCATGGTGGACTCTGCTTTATCCTTGCCCTTCTCCTCCTGTGAATAATGTGTTGGTTTGGAGGGGAGAATGCAAGGAGCAGATTGGTACAGTTTTCACTTGATGGAGGAGAGAGCAGAACTGGACCTAAGTTGCAGGTATCTTTCTCTGCAGGCCTACCCCTCCATCTTGTGAAAATGGTATGGGCCCAGCAGCGCCTCTCCTCACTCCTACCCTGCTTTAACTCTCCTGTCTGCTCCTGAAAGGGAGTGCTGTGTCTGTCCGAGACAACATCTCTGATTAGCTAGACTGGCTCAGAGAATGGGGAAAGGAAGCCAGTCACATAGGGATTTCCACATGGGCCAAGAGGTTTCCCCTCATATCCCTAGAAAATCTTAAATCTGATAGTCTGTGGAAAAAGCCATAGGTTTGGTGGGTCTGAGATCAAGGAGCACAATATTCCAAACAAAGCAAAATCAGTGGTTTACATCTTCCCCCTAAATTTGTCCTATGAATGGAAGGAGGACTTTCTGAACCCTTTTCTCTCTCCCATTGTCTGGATTGCTGTTAGTGGGTGGTGTATTGGAGGGTGGGAGGAATTAGCCCATCTATCAAAGGGCTTCCCTCCATCCATCCATCTAGATATAGATAGGCCATTTCAAAAAAAAAAAAAAAAAAAAGCTTCTTGTTGTAGCAGACTTAATCAAGTTCAAATAAATAAAAAAGCTTCTGTTTATATAGGTGAGACATGCAGGGTTTAATGTTGCTTTCGTTGGTAACAACTGAGTAGGACTGTGGAACCCATAGGCTGAAGGAGTGGTGTTTTTTGTTTGTTTTTAATAGATTATTTTCTGTGGGCCTCTCTGAAGTTGTGAGAGTGGGAAGAATGCTGACACTCTGACAGAGCTGGTCTGTAGTGTCAGGGGAGTGAGCACCATGTATGGTCTTCCCAAATTCTCTCCAACCCAGTGCAGAAATGCACTGTTCAGCTGCAGAAGAGAGCTTGGTGTACATGCAAGATTTATCTCTTAGTGAGCAGTCTTTTAAAACATTTTAGTAAACCTATAGCAAGCTGAAATAAAATAATTGAATACTTTTCAAAGATAACAAATGAATGTGCTGTTTCTTTTTTCATTTCTTTTTTTCCTATCAAGATTCATTCACAAATAAATCAACTGCTTCTTCGAATAATAAATACTGGTTTCTAGGCTTGCACTTCATCCCAAGCTTAATGGATGAATGGCAGCAAGATAGTGAATATTTCCAAATGAATCTAAGAGGTTTGTTCACCAGAGATTAAATCTAATGACCAAACTGCTTCCTGTGGTTCTTGACAAGACTCCTTATTAATGTTGAATGAACTTCTAGAGTTTCACAATTCTGGTTTGGTGCAAAGTTCAGATGTGTATCTAAAGTGTATTGAAATTGCTAAGCCTTTAAAGAGCTACCTATCCCAGACTTTCTGCTTCTCTCTCCACTACCATTGTAATGGGGAGACTTCTCCCTCCCATCCAATGGTAGCAGCAACACTCTTTATAGAAAGATTGATACTTTAGGAGGATGAAGGCTTTGTACCCTGTCTCTAGAAACAGATGCAGATATTAGACTAACTTCTGTGCACATTGAACTTCATGTCTCTGAGGCGTGGTCTAGACACAACGTTGCATTGATTTAACTCAAGTTGTGATTTTAAGTTGATGTAAACTAAGTTTATAATGTCCACAAACAGTTGCACTGATTTAATTGCTCTGGTTTATAAACCAATTTAAGTTAAACTAGTGCAACTATTTTGTGTAAATGAGCTGTAAAGCCTCCCAGGTAAATATTTCCCATGCTGTATAGCACAGCTATGAAGCCCCAGTTCTGCAAAATTTGATGTTTTCTGGGATTTTTCGTCCTGTCTTGTGTCAGTACTGAGGAAGTTCCCAACTACACAGAAGACCACCAGCAACAATTATGGGGAGCAGGAGGAGAAGGGAAAGAGTTAACCATCCTTCCTTGAAATTTAGACACAATTTGGTTGTTGAAGGTTCAGGAAATTATTATTTGAATTACCCAAACTACGTTGTCCACCCTACTGATAAATACACTTCAAATAAAAAGAAGTAACTGATCTGTCATTGATATGTTTATATCCTTTTACTTTTAAAAATAGTTTTAGGCTCTGTTAAAAAGATTTTTGTGGTTTCCTGGACCGAACAGATTTTGGTTGCCAGGGAGAAAGGATCAGGATATTTAAAAGGAAAAATTGTCTTGCCACAGTCAACCACATTTAAACTCCACTCTGTAGCCTCAGCAAGCAGAAGGTGAAGTGAACAGGCAAATAACATCTTACTGTCATTACTCAACACTTGCCTGCGTCCTAGATGTGCTGGAAACAGATGTTACTCCTACTTTGGAGTTATGTGTTGTAATGAATTTTTGTAGAAATTAGCTTATGGTTCCTAACCTTTTGTTGTTGAAATCTACCTACCCTGGTGGGTTGTAGGTGGAGTGCCCACCTCCACTTGCACTCTTACACTATAGAAATATCTGCACTGTAATAAAACATCGACAGCTGGTCTTTATCAGCTGACTTTGGCTTATGGGTCTGGGCTGTGGGGCTATAAAATTGCCATGTAGACGTTCGGGCTTGGATCCGAGGGTTCCAGACACAGGCTCCAAACTAAGCCCAAACATCTGACCTGCAATTTTATAGCCCCAAAAGCCGAACCCCACAGGCCCCAGTCAGCTGACACATGCCAGCCGTGGGTGTTTTATTGCAGTGTAGATATTCCTTCTTAGACATACTTGAAATGTTGGTACAGTGCCTCTCTTTCATTCTCCCCTGCCCGATCTGTGACTTGGACAGGTCACTTAACTGATTGGCTTACCCTTCTGAAACATGGAAATAATAATAGTTGTATTTACATACCTCACTGGAATATTGTAATAAGTAAATGTTTATGAAGTGCTCAAGATCTTCACATGAAAGGTCTTATAAGAAATGCAAAATATTATGATTTTTATATTAAGTATTGTGAATATTTTAGAATTTATGCAGCTTTAGCTTATATTTGTAATTGGTTATAATATTAAACTATCAAAAGCTATAGTACTGAAGAAACTGTCATGTTGAACACCATCTCACAGTGGAGCATTTGTAATCACAATGTGCATTTTGAATGAAAACCTTACTTTGGTACATTAAATGCACAAAACAGCGTGATGCACAGATGTTCTTTCTTTTCCAGCAAATGTTATGAACGCTCAACTCTTGTGATAATATATGTGTAAGAAATAAAAAAAAAAATCTCTTTCTAAGGCCTTTTCACATAAAGGTCTTACTTGTGATACATGCTTCAACCTTTCTTTAAATGCATACTTACTTAAAAAGAATGGTTTACTTATAAACTTTCAAAGCAATGCAAACTGCATTTAACTGTTTCTTTTTGTTACTATATACTTTGTAGATTCAATCTGTGCTTCAACAGAATTTCTCTGTGCAGAAGGGATTTGCATTGCAAAATCAGCACAATGCAACCAGGTCATTGATTGTGCAGATGCTTCAGATGAAAAGAACTGCAGTAAGAAATTCAGTTTTTTGTCACAATTGTCTGTGTCTCTCTTTAAAGTGCTAAAGTGTTATCCACATTTGATCTGCAATTAACTCTTATTTGAGTTAAGTATTATCTTGGATACTAATATGTTCAAGCAAAGCTGAATAGCCCGTAAAAAATATAGCCAAGTCTGGGAACCCATGTTGCAAAGTGTATCAAGACATTGATCGATCAATCTATAAATATATAGATTTGATTGTGTAGTATTTTATTTTCTCTTTCCAGATAACACAGACTGCACTAATTTCTATAAGCTTGGAGTAAAATCCACAGGGTTTATTAGTTGTAATTCTACTTCACTTTGTATACTACCAGAATGGATATGTGATGGATCTAACGACTGTGGAGATTATACAGATGAATTAAAATGTCCAGGTAATTGTGAAAAGAAAAAAAATAATAATTTATATTTGTACTAGAGATATAGAGAAACTATGAAAAATATGTATCCATTCAGTACTATGTGTTTAATGTACAAATAAAGATATTCAGAGGAAGTTGCCTCCTCCACCCATATTATCTGTGTTAAGGGGATATGCAAATTATCACTAATTAATGCTGAAGTTCCTCTGAAGAAAACCGCATTGTCTTTGGCTGTTTTTTTCCCCATTGTATGTCTGTCATTAATTATTTTTATTTAATTGGAACTTTAATCATCAAAATGTCTAAAGTGTCAAGCTTCAGCAAAATTGCCCAAAGCCTACGAGTAACTTTTAATAGCTAATTGTATGTGTTGCTTGATTTTTTTCCCCCTGCTTTCTTGGGTGTTTGATTGAAGTACTTAGTACAAAGCTTTGAGGAGAGTTGTTCCACTTTAAGAGATATCTGTTTATTGTTTTGGTGACTATATTAATCTTGTTCTCCTTTGATTGCTTTTCTGTATACATATTCTCCTCTTGGTGCACATGTCAGAGACTGGAGACTTTTGGCTGGCATTGTCTGTTGGGGCCAGGCACATGCCTTGAGTATCCTCATGCCCTTCACCTAGGGCATAAAGGGCTGGAGCAGGCCAGTCACCACTTAGTTCTTCTCACTGCCTCTGGCTTTGAGATGGAGCTGCTCTCTGTCCATTTGAATGTACAACTAGCTCTCTCTTTTCATTCCTTGTAGATATTATCTTAATCCCCAGTTGTAGTTAGTTTGCTACTTTGCACCATACATATAGTATTTTCAGGGTAAGTTTCCTTTTTACCAGGAGAATTCTTATTATTTTCTTCCAGGTACTAAGATGGCTAGTTCTCGTCCCCTGGTTAGGAATATTGTCACTAATGTCCGGATACTATTGCCGTTAATGACAGGCATAAGAAATGTTTATTTTGTATGGGGAAGTTGCACATCCCTGGTAAATGTAAGTTATGTAAGTCCTTTACACAAAGGACTTGAAAATCCAGACAGGGTCGCCTCCAAATATTTTTAATGGATGGGTTGATGAGACTGGCTTCAGATCATGAGTCTTTTGACCCCTCTGTACATGACCTGTCGGTATCTAAAATACTCCAGGCAGGATGGGGTCTACATGATCTCAGGCGAAGAAGGCACATGGCAAGGAGAAACTGAGAGGCAGATCCTCAGCTAAGGTCTCCTCTAAGAAAAGAAGAGCTTCCCCACACCATTCTACCTCAAGAGAGTCCTTGTGGCCCCATAAGGCTACTGCTGAAGCTCAGCTCCATTTGGTACTGAATCTGCAGCGATGAAGCAGCACACAAAAGTCCCAACATGTGATGCATCATCTCAAGTTCCCTCCACATCATGGAGCTTGGTACTGTCAACTTCCTGAATTACTTCCTCAGTACCATTGGGCTCCAATCTTGTGTTCCAGTATCATCAGTACTGATGACTCTGGTACTGTCAATGCCATCATTCTCCATCCACAATCTGCTGTTTGCTCTGCTGCACAGTACTGTGTTAATAGCATAAAGAGCACCAGGGAATCTCCCAGTGTACAAGAATCAGAATCCCCGTTACTTTCCACTAGTTTGATTCCTGTAGTTCTGGCTCCATCTTTACCCATGGTACTGAGCACTTGTATTCTTATGTCCACACCAGTTCATGGGCCTTCAATGCCAGTTTCTTCAGCTGCACCAACAGACTTACAGTGCTTCTCTTGAGTAACAATCTATTCAGGCTTCCCCTCAGTCTGAGGATCTAGGCAAAGAGATCCCATCTCACTCTGCTGACTTCTTGGCCCACATCAGAAATCCTCATCATCACCAGATGAGGCTGTGATCCCTTCTAGTAGGCCACAGCTTGATGCCTTTAAAGACCATCTCAAGTCTTTGCAACTTGCCCTTTGCCAACTTGCCCTTGAGGAGATTCAGGAACCTGTTCATAAACTGATTGACACCTTTCAATCTTCTACTGCAGATAAAATAACTTTCCAATCAACAAGGCTGTTATGGACCCTGCAAGGGTTCTTTGGCAGACTCTGGTCACAACAGCTCATATGTGCTGGAAGGCAGGAAAAAAAAAAAAAAGGACCTGTGCTCCTTGCAGGGGGGATTATTATTTTACTCATATCTGGTATCATTTCCTTTGTGGTAACAACTATTAATAAAAAGTAAAGACAACCAAATAAGAGTACACCAAAGTAAAATGAGCCTAAAAGATGAGATTTATTTGGCAGAAAATCGTACTCGTCAGCTAGTTTGCAATATAGAATTGTGATTTATCAAACTCTGCTGGCCAAATAGTATTTTTTAAATTATAAGAAGTTCTTGAGATTCATAGACAAACTCCCTCCTGTGGTGACAAACTCTCCTACATGCTCTTGCCACCATACACTATCCTAACCTTTCAGAAAGAGGCAAAACTTTCATAAGAAATCACCATCTTCATCAACTGCCCATACATCACAGTTCACTCCTGGGTCAAAACACTAATTTTGGCAGGACAGATAAGAGATGTGAACCCGCTCCCAAGAGTCTAGAAGCATCATCCCTTCATTTTTGAAATTGAGTAATGTGTTTTTTTCATGTATGTATGGAACACCATACCTAAAACCAGTGGGTGCTAACATGATTTTGATGAGATAGTCTATCCAGTTGTATACTGAGCCTACTCCCAATCTCTTCTGCTTTGTTCCTCTTCAGGGACCGATCTCATGAGGAATTGTTAGACCAAGAAGTCCTCTTACTTATATCTCAGCGCAATAGAAACAGTTCCACCTCAATACCAAGGGAACGGGTTGTATTCTAAATATGTTCTTATTTAAGAAAAGAAGGGATGATGGGGTCCCATCTTGGATTTATTAAAACTTAACAGACTATTTAAAAAAAAATCCAATATGTCCAAATGTGGATGAACTTCAGATAATTATTCAACATTTTAAATGTTTATATGAAGTTACCGTCTGAACCTTTCTTTTTTAATTGGTAGTAGTAGTAGTGATGGGCAAACCTCATGTATAAGAGGGCAATGCTAATGTGAGAATTTCTTCTGAACTTATGATAATTGCCTCATTTTCCTCATGATCCTAGTATTACCATTTCTTACTACTAATTAGGAAGTCATTTGGGTTACCTTCGTTTTAAAAGTGCTGTACAAAGTTGAATTCTATTTGTCACGCAGATGCTACAGTGATTAGTGGAGTATAAATATCTAGATAGATAATTCTGAAAGAAGCTTTTGTTTTGCTGGGTTTTTTTTGTCTCCTTTTATCCCTTTTATACAGTTGGAAAAGTTTACAGATGCCTTTCTTCATAGTCTAGCTGACATTTTTTCTCTCTCCTTTTTAATTAATGTTGTGCTGAGATCACTAGGGTTTCTGTTTGTGTGTTTTGGTTTGTTTGTTTGTTTTTATGGTTAAATAGTTTATGTTCCTTCTTTACAAACGTAAGACCCAATCCCACAAAAATTTACTGCCAAACATAATGTTTATTAATGGAACTATTCACAGAAGTAAACACTGTGGCCCAACACTTTACCGCGTGCTTATATCCATCCCCGTTCACAAATGCAATTAATTTTAAGCACAAGCTTAAGAATGAGTTCCATGTTGTAAATATTTACTAACACTTTAAGTATGTGCTTAAGTGCTATTCTGAATAGGGTCCTTAGTTTGGTAGTAAATATTTTAAGGATTGGACTCACTGTGTGAAATTCTGGACCCATTGAAGACTATATCAGAAATCCCAATGACTTCAGTAGGGTCAGGATTTCACCATTTTTTGTAGATACGGAAGATACCAACAAAGATAATCCTGGCATGTGAAAACAGGAGTTTCTAAAGGAGGAAGTAGAAAACCAAGGTAGCATTGAAACTGAATGATCTTGAAACTCTGTGGTTAATCTGAAATTGAGTGTAATTCACTTTTATTTTCAGCGGGAGAAATCTTGCTTAAGATTTTGGAATTGACTGTGTCTGTCAATACATTTGTATTTGCATCTGTGTCAGGAATTCACTCATTATATATGCAAACTTCCATCTTTCCTGCTGTAGAATATCCCACTTTACTGATGTAAAATATGAATGTATATATCCCATCCCCACCCAAAAATAAAGACACAAATAAACCAGATCCAACCAAGGTCAACAGTGACCACGGGTGAAAATCTGGCTCCACTGATGAGTTAATGTAAAACCTCACGTTGATTTCAAAAGTAACAGATCTGAAAGCTGGGTAGTGGCCTATGTGAAATGATTTGATGTTGTCAGTTCAGATCCCAGTGAATTTCACAGATAATGCTACCATAATTTGGCAATCTCATTGATCTAAGCAGATAGATGAGAATGGAAATGGAGGGCCAGATTGTATAAATCAACATACTTCCGTTGAGCATGTCACCATTGACATCAATGGACTTATGCTGATTTACATCAGCTCAGCATCTGACCTGTAGATTGAACTACCCTCATATCCCTAGATCCTTGTTGGTCAAGTTGAGGTACATTGCTGGGGAAGTGTGAGGAAACATGCACTACTACTACTTGTTCTCTATATAGAATAGTTCAGTTTCCTGAGCTAGCAATCTGTCTCCTTTCAGAGAACTATATTTTCACAAAAATAAATTTTAAAAAATCAAAAATTAATTGAAAAAGAGACCACTCTGTGGGGTAATTGGGAAAAAAGGAACCTTTTCCATTCGTTTTGAGAAATTCAGTAGAATTGTATTAGTTTCCTAATCATACTAGTAGATACCATTTTACATTACATTCTTTATTTTATCACAGTTCGAAACAAACCCATATGTGAAGAAAATTATTTTGGATGTCCTAGTGGAAGATGTATTCTGAACACATGGCTGTGTGATGGACAAAAAGATTGTGAGGATGGAGTTGATGAATTGCATTGTGGTAAGAGGATTTTATCTTGTTCTCGCTACTAAAACCATTGATACACGTGTGCAAAAGAAGGATTTATAATTCATATTTTTATATAAAAGTACTCATTCTTTATCTAACATTTTACTTCAATGATTTTTTATTGATGAACTCTTTGAAATCCAGACAAAAAGGTAGAGACAAATATAATTTATTCAATACTTTTGAATTTTCTACAGCAAATCAGTAGGCTTTATTCTATACATAGTGCTGGGAAACTATTAAAAATTTGGTTTTCTGTGAAGTATTAAATCCTCCTATAAGTAAATGTCACCATGAAATGTGAATATGTAGACTGCATCTTTATAATATAGCCAAGCTCTCAGCAAGACTGATGCTGAGCATTGTATTTAAATGTTAGATTACAAGGACACATATCTTCATGACATATTATCACAAGATAACTTTGTATTGTCTCTCTTTAGTTTGATTTTTGTCTGTGTTTCTACTATTCTTCCTTAAAGTACATTAAGATTTTGTACATGGCATCCAAGGGTGACCCAAAACTAGTGCATCACACACCAGCAAAACAACAAGAAAAGCAAAATGGCACCTTGACACTTATCCAGACTCCCCTCAGCTTGGCCTAAAGATAGTAGTAAAAGCCAAACACAAACTTGCTTGCTGCTGCCATGGTAATGAAAAGGGGAAATAAACAGTTGGTGCAATTTTCTGCCCAAATCAAGGTGGAAGGAGAAGGCTTTTACTACTTCCGTTCCTGCATTCTCAGCAGCTCCTCTGAGCTAGGGCAAACCCTCTGCCTCGCTCACTTCATGGACAGTTAATGTTTTCCTAGCCTATCTTGGTGTGTGAAATATATATATCTCAAGACAGGTTGGCTACAGAGCTTTGTGAAATAAGTACTTGGATTTACATGAATTGAACTTAATATTTCTTTTCCATTTTCAGAGCAAAATATTGCTTATTTTCTGTATGCAACAACTTCCTTTTGGACTTTTTTAAAGCAAATTCAAATTGAAAATGAAAATCCTGTAGTAGAAACAGGGATAGAGAAAATTACCTATTCAGTTTTAATGCTTCAGCTATAACAAGTTACTCTAATTGGTGTAATCCCCCATTTTGGACACAGTTATACCATTATAAAGGTGTTTATACTAGTAAAGCTTATTCTGGGATGGAGAGGGGACTAAGCTATACAATTATTTAGGCACCTTTATACTGATATGACTGTGTTCATTCTAGAGCCTATGTCAGAATAACTTATTTTTAAAAAGAAAAAAAAAATCATACCCCTAACCAAAAGAGTTATACTGGTACAAATTTTACATGTAGACCAGGCCTAAGTAATTTCTGTCTCTAATTTCCATGATTCTATAGTATTGCTTTATTGCAGTCCCAGGAAAATTTGATTTATGATCGTAATGAGAATTGGTCTTTTCCCTGCATGTTCTGCAGCTTCACCAATCTAGTCTCATCATTACAGAACTAAATTCTAGCTCAATAGCACAGTCATTAGTTTTCTAGCTGCCTTTCCCTCCAGACTGAAACCTGAAATCTGTGTGCATAGCGTGCTTTTTTTTCTCCACTCATCATGTGGTCAGGAGTTAAACTCTACCCCATGAAAGGTAGAAGGGTCAGACCTAGACACCATTTACCAGGCTTAGCCTGTCAGCAAGCATTTTAGGCTTTCTGTTTTTCATTACTTTAAAAAATATTATGAAACCCATTTGCCTTTTTTTTTTTTGTCTTGGCTACCTTTTTCCAGTTTACAGCTCTTATCCATTAGGAAACAGTGTGGACAATGTTTAATATAATTCAGATGGTAATAAATGACTTTTTTCTATTATTCATCTTGAAATTATTTTTCTATCAGTTAAACAATAATACATTTATTCTTGTGGGAAGGATGGAAAAAAGGAGGCTTGAAGTTTTCTAAATGAAATTCTTAATATGAAACTGGAATTTATTTGATATGCCACTGCAGATTGATTTTGAATTGAAGCAGAGCATTGTTATTTCCCAGTGTATTCACAAAAGTAAACAGTTAGAACAACAGAATGCAAATATAGACCAATTTTCCAGATGAGAAAAAAAACACGGAAGTCTTCTCAAGATGTAATTAAATAGTGCAATACAAAGATGATGGAAATGATTGAAGAATTGGACTACTTGTCTCTGCACTTATTACCATAATTGCAAAGTGGTTTGCTATAGCAAAAACATGTATGTGAAATGCATGAACTATTCTCTTATTTTAAAAGTTCTTACCTTCAGCCTATCATAAAATATTTTTAAATTATTCTAATTTAAAAGTTTTGTGAGTCCTTTTATAAGTATTAATGAACATAAATCAGTTGCATCCGAAGAAGTGGGCTGTAGCCCACGAAAGCTTATGCTCTAATAAATTTGTTAGTCTCTAAGGTGCCACAAGTACTCCTGTTCTTTTTTCATAAATCAGTTGGAAACCAACACAAATCCGGAGTTCTTTTTCCAAAGGAACATAATTATAGCATAGTTACATCTATAGTTACAGCTCTAAAAAGCAAGGAAGAGCTTTTATATTATGCTACTGCATGCAGGAAACTCACTGTTACTGTGAACATAACAAGCATAGTGGCTGATGTCTTCCCTAGATTCTTCTTGTTCATGGAATCAATTTGCTTGCTCAGCACACAAATGTATCTCTAAGCAGTGGACTTGTGATGGTGAAGATGACTGTGGAGATGGCTTAGATGAGAGTGATGCTATTTGTGGTGAGTACTATAATTTTTACTTATTTTATCACATCATATTTTTGGGACTGATCCTGAGACATGCAGAGCAATTGCATGGAAATTAATGGGAGTGGAGAATGCACAGCACCTCTAGGGTCATGTTCTTTAACCATAAGCTATTAATTGTCTTTATTTCCAGAGCACAGATGATTTTTTTCTGCCTCAGGCAGATACATTTTTGTGACTGGAGTGTGTAATTTGTGGGTCTGTCTTCATAAAGTAATTATGGTGAACCAGTTTGGGCAAAATAAGAACCAAACCTTTGCTTGTTCTCCAAATCTGAGCCAACCACCGTAAACAGGCCCCCTGTTCTAAATACCTTTATATTTTGGTGGTCAGTGCCTAACGGCTATTAAAAGTCTATGTGCTGTTTCCTGCTGCTGTTCTCTTTTAATTTCACTAAATACTGGCTTTTCAATATTTAGTCAAACCCCAGCATCTTTCTGAATCTTAGTGTCTTTCTGAAAATCCATAGCTCTTCATATCTTACCTGTTTTGGGGAATCAGATATGTCCCTCGTATTCTAGAGTGCAATTAAGTAGAGAATCCCTCATGTATGGGACTCAATTGCATCTGCTACCATCACAATTACTAGAAAGAGAGGGATCTGGTGTGATATTTGTTTAACAAGCAAGATTTTCCTCTCTCTTTCTCTCCCCCGCCTCGCCGCCCCCCTGTCCCTCTGCCCCCCTTCTGCCCCCACCACAACAGGTTTAGTGGAGGCAGTGTCAAGTGAGAAGGCAGGTACTTCAGACATATCTGCTATGGTACATTGTCAGAACCTAAGAGACTTCATGGCCTGAGGCTCAATAGGCTGCATGCCCACTAAATACACAACTTAAAGTAAAAAATAGGAAAAGCGAAAAAAAATGGAGGACCAAACAAATCAATAAAGCCACCACTCCTTTTTTAAGTTGTTCAGGTGTTACATCTCTTCCTTGTCTATTTCTTAGCATTGATCATAGATCCCTTTAGGGATGAAAACTCTATAACAGAATTAGCTGGCATCTCTGAAGATTACTTAAAGATAAAATGCTGTGGAGTGGGAGACAAGGCCCTATTTCATCTTAGGAGCAGGAGACAAATACTTTCCAGGTGGAACAGGGCTGTCAGAAAGCATTTGGGTTTCCCAGTTCTCTGAAACATTTGAAGTTTACCTATCTCTAACATAACATAATTTAACTTCAGAAGTGTTTGAAATGCCAGTCTAATAAAAGCAACACGAGTTGTTTTTCATCTTGGTTAAAATAATGAAAATGAATCATAAAATAAATTCCTTGAATTCATTTAACTTTTGTATTAAATGTTCAAAGGCGTGAATGGAAATCTATTTTCTCTTCTTAATATATGCCAATTTGCTATACCTGAGAAGAGACATCATAATGATGGATTACATAAAAGCAATCCCTTAAAAAAGTCTTTAATAAGTACCAAAGGATAAATAAAAATCTGTTCTAGAGGAAAGTCTGTTTTAAAACAAACATGAAAAAGCCAACCTTAAGCAATGAAAAATTATTTTCTTTATGCTGGTAAAAGTTTTATAAAGTGCTAAAGATAAAGAACTTTCCAGGAAAAAGAAGTACATTCATTGAAACTGTTGGGATTCTTCTTACCTCACATTCACTGTTTAATACTGAGCACTTGGGCCCTGATTTGGGGCCTGATCCTGCATTTGGGGCCTGATCCTGAACTGCCATGGGAGTTGACAGTAATGAGCAGAGCTGAGGGTTGTTAGCACCTCTCAGGATCAGGATCCTTATCCAATAAATCCAAATACATAGTAGTTGCCTAAAACATCTGTCTGTGCTTTCTAAAATTGTCTACTGAATACATTACATGAAGTATAGTAAGATAGCTTGCCTCTTTCATTTACGAAAGAGGTGAATGACAGTGTGAATAGGGTGAAAGTATATAGAAGGAAGGGTAGATATTCAAACCTTTAATTTAGAATACAATCCTAATCTGAGTTTTTAGAGTACTGTACAGAGGAAAATCTCTTATTTTCATCTTTCTTTTAAAGGAAAAGATAAAAACCTCTCTCCTATAACTATTATTTATAAACCTCACAAAAATTATTTAATTGGGATTTAGCAACACTAATCTGTATCATTTTTTCAGCATCGGTAACCTGTGCTGCAGACACGTTCAGTTGCCTAGGTTCCCATGCCTGTGTCCCTCAACACTGGCTTTGTGATGGTGAAAGGGACTGTCCTAATGGAAGTGATGAACTATCTACAGCAGGCTGTGGTATGGGGTTTTGTGCTTAAATTTATACATTTAAAACTATATTCTGACTTTTTTCTCTTTTCATGGTACTTGTTTGTGTCTTTTATTTCCTGCTGTGGGCCTTCTACCCATTACCAGATGGAGTATTTGGCTGCATGGTGCAACATATGAAATACTGTAAACCATCAGTGGGTAGAGATTGGTCAGTCATAGACTGGGCCAGATCCTCAGCTTAATTAAATCAGCATAGCTCCATTGACTTCAGTGAAGATATACTGATTGACACTAACTTAAGATCTAGTCCGCTATATGTGGCGCATTGTATATGTTTCAAATATAAGTATTTGTTCCTTTTTTTCACCACATTAGACAGTAGTGGAAGCTTTATTATTGATTATGCATTTTACATGCTTTTAGCAAGAAAAAAGTATATTTTTGAAATTACAAAAATTAGCTGTTTTCATAGAGGAGTAAGAGACAATTGTATCTATAATTTAGTCATGTTAATTATTCTCATCTCTACTTCTGGTACTTTATAATCTGCTGCTTCCCCATCTTTTGTTCTTGGTATCCACTTTCTTGTATGTAGGTATATGGGTTATAATCCGATTAAGGATGTGGGGGGGTTGGTCAGTAATTTAGGTGGGTTTGTATTTTATCTGTATTTGCTTAACTAAACTATTTTATAAGTTTGAAAATGCTAGGATAATTTTCTCTTAGTTGACTATATATCCATTATTGCATGAGGTCTGGGGTGGGTTATTCTCCAGAGAGTTACAGAGACATTTACAGAGCTGTCATTCAGAAGTAGTGTAACCAGGAGGAGTTCTTTGCAGAACATTGTTCCCCCAATGAGGCAGTGCTGGGTGTTACCAAGTGCCCCCGCCCTATTGGTGTTTTTTCTTGTTTTGATTATTTTTTTAAGTACATTCAAATCTTTGAATCAACTTTTGTATTCCTTATTTTGCGGGCAAGTAGCACCTTCTGGTATCGTATGCTACTTGGTGTATGCCTGACAATGTGCATGATTATTTGTTCCGAATCAGTCATTGAGCACTAGTTAATTTACTTCACTTGTTTTTCTAATAAGTAAAGTATCTGTAGGTCCTGTTGTTCTGTGTGTTCCTTATTTTTTCTTATGTGCTGTTTTTTCATTAGCTCCTAATAACACCTGTGATGAGAACTCTTTCACATGCCGTAATAAACTCTGCATTCCCAAACAGTTTGTATGCGATCACGATGACGACTGTGGAGATGGATCTGATGAGTCATTGGAATGTGGCAAGTATAATTTAAAAAACAGTTAACAATGAGAAAAATCTCAGTCTGAATAATAGGATAGAAATTTTTAAAAACCTATAGGGAATGAAGACAAGAATGTTTAGAAGATTTAATATTCTAATTTACTGTTGAATGAGATAATTGTTCACTTTCTAAATCTGTTTTAATATTTGTTTGTAATCTAATGCTGTTCCTGCTGAGCACAATTTTGTACATACTTATTTGGGCTAAAGCTATATGAATTTATAGCTGATTCTTTTTAAAAAATAAGAGTTAATAATAGAGTTAATATATAAAGTAAATACATTATCAGTAATCTATATATGTTCATACTGCCAGACTGTGCCATAGTAAGCAGTAAAACTTTGTTGCTGTTTTATATTATATACATACTGTATCTGACTGCCTGACCTCGCCATTCTGTATCAAGAAGTTCTTGGTACAGGAGAGAATCTGGCATACAGCCCCTGTTCAAAACTATGCCAGTGTGTTTATCTGCAATAGTCTTAGGCTTAATTTTCAGTATGTTGTGTACACGAATATCTGCATCCACCGCATATGTATGCAGAACTCAGGAATTTCTGAGCGCATAGTTAATGTGCATGCAAAATATACGTAGATATGTGTGCACAAAATGTCCAAACCCAAACTATTGATAATCTGGACCAGTATGTACCAAGTGCCCCCGCCCCATTGGTGTTTTTTCTTGTTTTGATTATTTTTTAAAGTACATTCAAATCTTTGAATCAACTTTTGTATTCCTTATTTTGGGGGCAAGTAGCACCTTCTGGTATTGTATGCTACTTGGTGTATGCCTGACAACGTGCATGATTATTTGTTCCGAATCAGTCATTGAGCACTAGTTAGTTAATTTACTTCACTTGTTTTTCTAAAATCTAAAATGCCTTGTGTGTGAATGTGAGCATGGATGCGCGTGTGCACACACACATTCACAGTTAGAGATGATCCATGGCTTCTAAAATATGAGGTTGCTATCTATATTAGGCATTGCTAAAGTCCCTATCATCTATGGCTTGTACATGGGTAACTGAAATATATATGAACATCAAGGGATTTTAAGAGTGAAGCACATGTGATTTTTTATGTTAGCAGAAGCCTTATGTATGCTTATCATGATTTCCTTATGTTGTAGTGTTAAATCTATTATACGATTAAGCATTGTGGGAAGGTAATGTGACAATAGTGTTCCAGATAAACACTTATTTTTCTCTTTGTTCCTCCAGTGCAGTCCAATCATTTGGAAGTACTTTCTCCCTGCCATTAGATGGAAATAGAGCATTTGAATCTGTACATAAGGGCCTTGCCCTTTCAGAATCCTCAGGTGTTTCTGCATCCTGCAAGTGAAACAGCTACTAAGCTGGTTAATTTGTCCTAGGAACTGGAAGATTTCATCCACATCACCAGGCCTAAATGGGCATAGGAGAAAAGTTGCCCCCTCCCAAATGCACCTTACCACTCATTGTAAGAGGCAGCACGAGAGCTACTCCCTTGGTGAAACGGGGAGGAAGGGGGCAACCAAATCAGCCCTGCTCCTGCCACAGTAAGCTCAAGCACCTCAATACCACAGAGACAGCAGCCGTAACAAAATGACAGCCAGCGTGCCTACTTTATCATCCCTTGACTCCAGCTCCTCCTCCTCTGTGGTGGGTCCCATAACATCTCGGAGGGAACACTGTGTGGACTTCCTTTACTGTCAGCAGTGTTCATATGCCACAAACTTTTGTGGGAAGTATTTGTACCATCACAGGGGGCATTTCCCTTCCTTTGTAGTTGGCAATGATAGTTACTAGCCCCAGTGTGCCGGACAGACTGGGTTTTGACAATAAGTTGTGCTGATTCACTGGAGAGGCTTAGCACCACAGGTGCAGCGCCAATGATCAGACGAATCAATATACCAAATAGGCTCAACATTAATTGTCATTAAAAGTCAGGAGGGAATGGTGCTAGTGTTATAGATATGCTCAGCACTATTGCACTGAGAAGGCACCATGCCAGCAGAGTCCAGGTCCAGAACAACTTGTCACTGTATCTTGGGAGTCTTATACTTCAGGAGTGTCATATCTTTCAGTGATTTGGCCCTGTATGTAGGGTGCTTTCCACGAGCATCCCTAGTTTATGGGACATGGAGAGCCAGTGGTAAACAATGCTGCCTGGCATCTAAAAGAGAATTTGCACACTGGTGCAGTCTACTCCATTGACATAGGTCTGAACCAATTTTTTTTATGAGCAGTCCATAGCTAGTAGAGGCAAAACTTCTAAACAAATGGAGGATGCCAGCTTAGATGCAGGCAAACACTATGGTAGTGAAACACAGAGACTCCTAATCCTCAAAATACCTGAAGCTAATGACATTTTTGCACAATATATGTATAGGTTAAAATGACCTTTTATTATCTGTTACCTACTTTGGACAATTTAAAACTTTAACCCAGGTAGTTTAACACAAAACGGTTGATTTTCATCATGAAGTTGCACTGTGTTTGCAATATCCGCCATCAGTTCATTCCAATAGCTGTTCCTCTGCCAAGGACAAACAATGTCTTGCCAAACTCCTTAAGCAATACAAGTACTAAATTGTGGACTTGATCCTTCATTATTTGTCCCAAAAGGGGGCAAAGCCCTAAGTCTTTGTCACCAGAGAGAGAGAGAAGAATGCCAGATATCTCAGAATAGTCTAGAGGCAGTGCAGCATCACTCACAGATGCTTTACTTTTGGATTTCGGGTCAGGAAATCCTCTATTTTCTATTTCCTCCCCCCAGTTCTATTGATCCAGAAGAGTATTATGAAAGTCAAACAGGATGGAGATTAGATATTGATAATAGCTCTGGCCTGGGCTCAGTAGTTTTAGTTCTCCTGCTGGAAATGACTTTGGGCCTTTAAGTCTTCTGAAACTGCCAGATCTTTTGGCACAGGTTCAGGACAAGATTTTTATACTAGTTCTGAATTCTCTGACAGCTTGGCTTCTGGATGTCTGGAAACATTAGATCTACAGTGGTTTACTGTAGTTTAAAATATCCAGTTAGAAAACCTGAAGCTTATGACCAGAGAAACATACTTAATGAAGTGGAAAACTTTCTCCGTCTGGGAAGATCAAAAGGGGGAAGATCTGAAACATCCCTTGAGCCCTATTTTATTTGGATGCAACTGCAACAATAAAAAATATTATTTCAAGCTGTCAGGATCCACTTGGCTATCTCAGTTTTCCACCCTCAGACATATGAGTTGACCTTTTTTTCACTCACCAGACAGTAACCAAATTTCTGAAAGGCTAGTTTCACATTTTCCTTCCATTGTTTTGAAATGCGACCACTATGGGATTTGAATTTTGTCCACGGGAAGCTACAGTGTCTTATAAGTCTTTGCCAGACTGCTCTCTCTGCATTTCTCAGTTAAAATGGCACTCCTAAAAGCAATAACATCAACCCAGATGTTCACCAACCTGAGGGCTGAATCTCCTTATACCATGTTTAGGGCTGCAAGTTTGTTATGATATTATGACCTCTGTGACTTCAAATTTGAGGGAAAGGACACTGACCACCTGCAGCACTGCTTTCTGCCCAGCAATGCAACCATAGTAACGGCCAAATAAGGAGGGGCAACTGAGGGTGGAGGGCTGGAGAGTGAATCCATCCCACCCTCACTCCGCAGCAATGTCACCAGTCCTGAAGGGTTGGTCCTGGTTCTCCACTCTGGTGTTGCAACCCGGGTGTAAGTAGTCACAGTGACTCTCAGGTTTGGCCCAACCAATCCTCAGTGATGACGAAAGTCTGGGCCAAACCTGAATGGCATTGCAACCCTGTGCACCAGCCAGCAAATGCCAATCACTCAAATTTGGTCACACAAAAAGTGTCTCAATATGATTTATACCGTGGCTTTACACACCATTTCCCCCTAAACCCGTGACTTTTACTAAATTTACCATGACTGCTCTGTACTTTTTTATTTTTAAAAATGCTGTGACAAATCTGCAGCCCTCACCGTCTTCCATAGGGATAAAATGTCTAGTACATCTTGTCTAGAATGATCTGTGATTTCCATCTGAATAAGTTCATTAACCAGCCTGCAATTTTCTTAATTACTCCCAACAGGGAAGTTCAGGATCCATATTGTAGACATCTAGAGGTCTTAAATTATTATCTATATAGGATCAAGCCTAATTGCAGGTTCCCCAGACTTTTAATGACACATGGATCAGTCCAACTCAGCTAAATAACCATGATTGTTAATTACTTGACATCCACCCACAGATATCCAAACACTCTTACTTAGCCCTAATGCAGTTTCCATGGCATGCCTTTGCACAGAGTCCATCACTGATATATGCAAAGCTGCTTCCTTAAACTCTGTATACAATTTTATGTAGCATTACTCCCTCAGGTTGCCCTCTAATCTGATTATCAATTCAGAAGAAAAAACTTTAAGTCACTTTAAACTACTCCACCTCAGACCCCTCTCCTGGAGGGTTACTTCTGCTTTTTAATCTCCAAAGAGTAGATATCCAAATGAGCAATTCTCAAAGGGAGAAAAAAAAGATTGCTTACTGTAGTAACTATAGTTCTTCCTGAATTATTGTTGATATGGTCCACACTCCGAGACCACCTTCCCTTCCTCTCTGGAATTTGTCAGAGAGGAGTTTCTCAGTTAAAGGAAATGAAGGATAATTATGGTCTACTCCTCCTTTTGTGCCTTTACAATCTTATTCAAGCAAAGGGAGAGTAAGTGGCCAGAATGGACACTGTTTTAAAGATGATTCCAAGTTTGCATGTCCAGTGTGCATTGGTTTCAAGTGTAGGAACCGTGGCAAGTTAACATTTTTTCCCTAGAGCTCCCATCTATATTGCTCCAGTACTACACACTAGTGCACATCAAATTGCTATGCTGGGAACAATGAGACTGTATTTAGGAGCTCATATTGTATAATAAGGTTCAGTGCTGACAGGCACAGCCTCATAACACACGTTGGGACTCACTGGCAACTAGTGCTCACACCACTCCAAATGAGATGTATTAGCAGGAGTGTTGTAAGCAAGACACAAGAAGTAATTCTTTGGCTCTACTCCACGCTGATTAGGTCTCAGCTGGAGTATTGTGTCCAGTTCTGGTCATCACACCTTGGGAAAGATATGGACAAACTGGTGAAAGTCTAAAGGATAGCATCAACAATGATTAAAGGTTTAGACTGGAGAAGAGAAGACAGATGGGGGACAGGATAACAGCCTTTAAGTATGTAAAGGGTTATATAAATTGTTCTCCTAACCACTGACAACAGAACAAGAATGGGCTTAAATTGCAGCAAAGGAGATTTAGATTAGACATTGGGAAAAACTTCCTAACTGTAAGGGGAGTTATGCACTGGAACAAATTATCTAGTGAGGTTGTGGAATCTCCAGCATTTGGAGGTTTATAGGAACAGGTTAGACAAATATCTGTCAAGGATGATCTAGATAATATGTAGTCCTGCTTCCCTGCAAGGAACTGGACTAGATGACTATCAAGGTGCATTGCATGTCTACATTTCTATGATTTCTATGATGTATTGTGACAGTATCAACTAGCCATGGCAGACAGTATAGCCAGAGCAGGTCAGCCTCTGCCTGCCAGTCCAACTAAGGTACCCAGCAACAAAGAACTTCTTGATCTAGAACCCAGTTTACCATGAAAACCCATCTCAATTTATTGCTTATATCCTGCCTGTTGGCATTAAAAATCTAAGATGAAACTTATTCAGAAAAGGTAATGTTGCAGTCAAGGCACTTCACCCACTTTAGAATCAGGGGGAAAAAATCTTTTCTTCTTGGTGTACCTCAAGGCCAAGATAGTAGAAATCCTGATTGTTTCCTGAGTTTGTTTAATAAGAGTCTATATTTCACTGAAGCTGCAATTTGAACAATTTGCTGCATTTATAGTTAGAGTCTATCATTTCTGGTTAGGTGATATTCAGATATGGTGGAAGTCTTCAAGGCAATTACCAAAATTAGGTCAATGCTCAGATGATCTAGTCCTCTTTTGCATCTGAATTTGGGTTTGAATTCTCTTAATATTTTTACTATTCTATTAGTCTTTGATAACTGTTTCAATATGAATTCTGTTCCATTTTATAATCCTAAATTATTCTTTCAAGGCTTATTCTTAGTGATTATTTATTTGTCCATAAGAATATGGGAATTTCAGACTCTCTGTTGAGATGAGATGTCTCCAGGAGAGTATGCAGAGAAATGCTTTGTTCTTCATGAGATCCTCCAAAAAAGAAAAGGAGCATGCGCATTAACCATTTCTGTTTAAGTAGAGTAACTGATTGGGGAAGCTTATTTAGAAATACGAAAGAAGATCCAATTTCAGTTCCACATTTCTTCAAAGCCCATTCAACCGGATTATAGGAGCATCATAGAGAGAGCAGAAGCTCCTGTGTGTCAGATCTAGATTGGCCTGGTTTTAAATGCATGTCTTTGCCAGACACTACAGATGGGAAGTGGAAGCTTTCACTGAGACAGCCATTGACACAAAGGTATCTCAAGTGTAGCTGAGGCCTGGCCCGACATGAGTAATTAATACATGAAGGGAGGTTTCATGTTTTTTAAAGATAGAATTAAGGACAGTCTATTTAATAAAAGTTGCAGCTTTATGAAGTTTCCCTGTTGAGTTATTCTGGCTTCTCTAGTGATTATTACAAGTTAGATACAAGATAATTATGTTTTATGGTTCCAGTAGTACATTAACTCCATTCAAAGTGTCAACGGAGGATACTGAGAGAATAAAGCTCTTGGATACAGAGGGATGTCTTATCTCAGAAGGTCAAGTGCTCTGATTCCATCTGCTGGCAGGGAAGAGCTATACCCAAATCACATAGAATAACTAAAGGAAAGTTAGCTGGTATTATATTTCTCCTTTCGCTAATGCTCATGTAAGATTTATGCAGATGAAACAAAGCTTCAAAAACAACCATCATCTTGGATTTGCTGCTCAGAAAGAGCAAGTCATATTTTTAGAGCTTTAAAAATCTTATGTTTTGCTGGAAAAATCTGTTGGAATGTGAACATTCAAAAAGGCAGGAAAAACAGCTGCAGGTCAATTTTGACTTTATTTTTACTCCCATGCATAACTTAATATTTTCATGAGTATGCATGCACTCTTAACATAAAATGTTATGTTTTTTTTCTCCAATGAAACATGCTTTGTACAAAAATGGCAAAATTCTGCTACTTGGGAAAAGAACATGAATTTCATCCATTTGATTTGGTTTCTTGCAGCAAAATGGTGATTTTTCCATCTGAAAAAAACCTGACTTTTATGTTTTAAAATTGCGAGGGAAGAAAAATTTTATTTGACTTTTGAGTTTTTGCCATTTGTAGATTTTTCTTATTAAACTCTGGCAGAGACTCCCTTCTAAGGAGCAAATTCTAGATGTTGTCCTTTTTGATGTTCTCTGGCAGAAATCTATTTGAGCATCTCATAAAATAATCTTGTGCAGCTTCCAGAACTGCATTGAGGATTTTGTCTTTTTAAGGAGTCTGTCTTTTGAGATGCACATGTATATGCATATTTATCTTTCTGTATCTCTCTCTATAGAGATAGAGAGAGATACATGTGTTTACTTGTATAGACTCTGTTATGAAATTATGTGAAAATATATGCATATGCAAAGTATGAAGCAGTAAAGCTTTGATTGCTCTGTTTCTAGGGTATCGTCACTGTAATCCTGGAGAATTCAGTTGTGCTGATGGAAGGTGTCTCTCAAATTCTCAGTGGCAATGTGATGGGGACTTTGACTGCCCAGATCATTCTGATGAAGCTCCTATAAACATAAAATGCAAAAGTTCAGGTTCATATTTATTTATTTTTAAATCACATATATGTATTTTTCCCAACAAACTTAATTTAGAATTGTAGATAGAAAGACTATAATCCTAATAACTGTATGGTACAGTCCTGTCTCTTTAATGCTTCATTCATCCTGTGAGGAGGATGCTGTTGTAATTTGTCAGTCCTGCACAGCCAAGAATTCTGTAGTTAATTGGTCTCAACTGATAAAATAAAGCTATCCACACCAGATGGTTCAGGGTAGCTTGTAGTTTGTTTACACATGTGTTTCCAGCTAGTATAGACCTCTGTATTAGGTGACTGAAGGATATCTAATGTAACCACATTTTTTTAAAAGAGCTCCAGTGGTGATCCTGGCAATTACAGGCAGGTAAACTTAACTTCAGTACAGGCTGATAATTTTGTCCTTTACTATAGTTAAGTTTATCAGACATAATAACTTGAGGAAGAGTCAGCATGGATTTTATAAAGGGAAATCATGCCTCACCAATCTATTAGAATTAGGGGGGAGGGATAGCTCAGTGGTTTGAGCATTGGCCTGCTAAACCCAGGGTTGTGCGTTCAATCCTGAGGGGGCCACTTAGGGATCTGGGGCAAAATCAGTACGTGGTCCTGTTAGTGAAGGCAGGGGACTGGACTCAATGACCTTTCAAGGTCCCTTCCAGTTCTAGGAGATAGGACATCTCCGTTAATTTAGAATTCTGTGAGGGGGTCAACAAGCATGTGGACAAGGGTGATCCAGTCAATCTAGTATACTTGAACTTTCAGAAAGCCTTTGATAAGGTCCCTCACCAAAGGCTCTTAAGCAAAGTAAGGACGCATGGGATAAGAGAGAAGTCCTCTCATGGATCAGTAACTGGTTAAAAGATAGGAAACAAAGGGTAGGAATAAATGGTCAGTTTTCACAATGGAAAGAGGTAAATATCAGGGTTCCACACAGATCTGTATTGGGACCTGTGCTGTTCAACATATTCACAAATGATCTGGAAAGAGGGTGAACAGTGAGGAGGTCAACTTTGCAGACAATAAAAAATTATTCAAGTTAGTTAAGTACAAAGTTGACTGCAAAAAGTAACAATGAGATCTCACTAAACTGGGTGACTGGGTGATAAAATGACAGATGAAATTCTATGTTGATAAATGCAAAGTAGTGCACATTGGAAAAAAATAATCCCAATTATACATATAAAATGATGAGGTCTAAATTAGCTGTTACCACTGAAGAAAGAGATCTTGCAGTCATCATGTATAGTTCTCTGAAAACATCTGCTCAGTGTGCAGCAACAGTCCAAAATGCTAGGAATTGTTAGGAAAGAGATAGAAAACATCATCATGCCACTGTATAAAGCCATGGTACGCCCACACCTTGAATGCTGCATACAGTTTTGGTCATCCCATCTCAAAAAGATATATTAGAATTGGAAAAAGTACAGAGAAGGGTAAGCACAAATAAATAGGTGTAAGGAACAGCTTCTATGTGAGAAGAGATTAAAAGGACTGAGACTGCTTAGTTTGGAAGAGAGATGACTAAGGGGGATAATATACAGGTCTACAAAATCATGAATGGTGTGGAGAAAGTGAATAAGGCAATGTAATTTACCCCTTCACATAACACAAGAACTAGGGGTCACCCAATGAAATTAATAGGCTGCAAGTTTAAAACAAACATAAGGAAGTACTTCATACAATGCACAGTCAACCCATTGTAAGGCGATGTCGTGAAGGCCAAAAGTATAATTGGGTTAAAAAAAGAATTAGATAAATTCATGGAAGATAGCCATGATGGTCAGGGATGCAACACCATGCTCTTTGTGTCCCTAAACCTCTGACTGCCAGAATCTGGGACTGGATGACAGGGAATGGATCACTCAGTAATTGCCCTCTTCTGCTCATTCCCTCTGATGCATCTGGCACTGGCCACTGCTGGAAGTGGTGCCAGGCTAGATGGACCATTGGTCTGACCCAATATGGCCATTCTTAAGTTCTTTAGTTGAATATGTATTACTTTTTAAAGGTATACGACTTGGACGCTAGTGACAAATCTTATTAGTGCTCCCTATATGCCTGTCAGTGCCTCCTCAATTTTGTGTACCTTGCATCATAGTTATTTTTCATATTTTCTTAGCTTTTGTGGTACACAGTTAAGTTATCACATGTCTGGATGCTCCTGAATCATCTAATTTTCCTGTTACATTTTCCAAATTAGGCTTTAGATAGCCAGTTTTTTTTTTGGAGGGGGGAGATGACCCTATTAGAGGATTTTACTATGACAGTTCTCCATTGCTACCAAAAATAATCTTCAATGTTAGATAGCTCTACAAATGTATTATGATTTTTTCCAGTGTTTTCCCCAGAAGACTATATCAAGTGTGTGATATTTTTAATATACATAGGGCAGTTAATTTCCTGTACTATAGCTTTTTTCCCCCTTGTGCATAGTTTCCAATATACAGTTTATGGCTTTTTCACTGGTGGTCTGCAGAGAGGTGATACTGCATGATGCTTGCTCTTCTCATTATTTCTTGTTAAGCAAAACCAAACTGATGGACGGGGAAGATGAAATGAAGAATAGACAATATGATTAACTTTTTTCAGAAAGGAGTAAACACTTATCTTAATATAGATATCTAAAACTAAAGTAAAATTTACACATTTAACTTTTTCATATAAGCAATTACTGTAGTCATGCAAGCAATCTTATGAGATCAGTCACAAACAGGAGAAAATCTGGTCCCCACAGATTGGAGTTGGTCCATGAAAAAATCTATCAGAGCTAGGTCACACTATGGGAAAAGTATGAGAACCACTGACAAACTCTTCATTTGTTTTATTTTATTTTATTTTTTCCAGAACAGTCATGCAACAGTTCTTTTTTCATTTGCAAAAATGGCAAGTGCATTCCTCAAATAGATGTCTGTGACAATAAAGAGGATTGTGGTGATGGATCTGATGAGAGAAACTGCCATATCAATGAATGCTTGAGTAAGAAAGTCAGTGGCTGTTCTCAAGATTGTCAGGATCTTCCTGTTGGGTACAAGGTTGGTAGTCATGGTGTGTAATATAGTATAATATAAGTTCTTAATCCTTAACTATGATTGTTTAAACCACATAACCATGTAGTAGAACTTCAGAATGCAGTACTAGCTTTTAAACAAGTAACCTAATCAAAATCACAAACCTATGCAAATCAATATATGAGGTATGCAAATGACCATCAGTTGTGTAAAAAGTAGGAGCTTAAATTCAATTTATAATGAATGGGAAGATGTACATTAAATAATTTCAACATTTATTTCTATATATTTGTAAAAACTAATCCATGAATATTTTACTTGAAAGATGATGAAGATGAACCTACAATAACAAAAGTCCAAAGATACAGCACTTAAAAAACCCCAAACAGATCATGCTGATGTACGAAAAATACAAATGATCTGAGAGTTGCTTATAAGACCATGCCTCCAATAGTAATTAATACAAATAGTAAACTTTTCCCAAGTTGATTGAAATAGTGACTCAATTAACAAAGAAAAATTGAACAATGCACTGTTAAAGGACAAAATTTCAAAATGTGCCCTCCAGTTGTGTGCATGCAATTTTGCTCATGCATTTTGCTCATTAATAGAATGAAGATGCTGGAGCATATGATAACAAACTTAATTATATATCTTTATACTTCCATGTCTAAGACCCATTGGTTGAATGTTGTTTTGGCCCAAATTCCAAGAAATTCTTCACTCTTCCCCTGATGGTGGGACTCCACCTGGACCTTTGTACCTTCAAAATGATTGTTTAACATTTGAATGGATTCCCTAGTGTTTGTTACCTCTTATTTTATAATGACAAGCCTGCCTTATTGAATTAGTTTCATTCCCTTTTCCGTGGATGGTAGGTTCTTTTCTACCTGAATCGGCTCCTGTTGAACTGCAAACTTGGGGCCACTCATAAGGTAGACTTTGGTTCTGTGAATCAACTAAGGAATTCTAGAACACCTCCAACTCCTTCTGGAAAAGAAAATCTGCCATTGAATGGCCAGGCTATTTTTCTGGGGTTGGAGGAGGGATCTTCTGTCTATTGTTTTAGTCACAGGAATCATTTTCCTGTCACTGTGGCAGACATGGCTACAGTATTCAAGCAGATTATGTCATATGTGATTTCACACATGAACAAGAGAATGGAGTTCAAAATCGGAAGACTCTTGGCCACCTGAAAATTCTAATTTTTAATCTCTGGGGATCTGCTAAATACAGGTAGCCACCTCTCCACAACTTGAGAAGTGTTTGCCACGTGACATGAAGTTTATAGTGATAAGCCTGAGGCATCAACGGATATTTTCTGGCAGGGATGTCTCATGTCACAGAATAAGCTGGCCCCTTTAAGGGAGTTAGAACTAAGTTTCACCTGTGCCAGGTTTACCTCCCAAATCATGGGACTGAGAATTTGGGGAGAACATGGCTGTGAAGGGTCATGTGATTTAAAGGAAAGCAAGTAGCACCTATCCATAGAGGCAGTCTGCACTCAGTAGGGCGAGACAAAGGGTGGAGAAGACCTGAGGCTAACCTCTTCAAAGGTGATCTGGGAAAGCCCTGGGGAAGAGCAACAGTTTAACCTGAAGAGTCCTGGGGAAGGTCTAGGAAGAAGCAGTGTAGGACTGCCTGAGAAGGTGCTATTGTGAGGGCCTAAAAGGCAAACCAGTCAATTGCAGAAGTAGCTCTGGAGTCTGAAGTAGCACTTGGTGTCTGAAGTAGAGAGCTGGTTCACTTATTAGAGTCAAGGAGTTGGAGTCCAAGGTAGAGGGCTTCCTGACACCTCTGCATTGCTACCTAGAGTGATGGTGCAGAAACCACTGCACTGAGTAGAAAAGGAAACATTTGCTGCTGATAAACTGTTGAACCTGGGGTTGGGTTGAAGGAAATTGTGGCCCAGTAAAGGCCAACTGAGGGTTAAAGGATTCTTTGTTTGGACAGTTATGTTTTACCTTAAAATGTAGGAGACATTTTTTTGCTAGAGAGCTAATGAAAAAATCACAAGGGGAGAGATGGCAACCCCCAGTTGGAAGAGGAGGGAAAAGGAGGCAGTGGCTACATCTCCATGCCAGGAAGAGGTGTTGCTCCTATTAAATCTCACTTTTTCTGTCAAGGGGATTGTGGAGATCTGTTCCTCCTTTCACAGGAGTCGTTGTCATTAGCTGGTGTAGAGAGGGTGCGTCAGGGTTCGTCCCTCTCCGGGGCGATGGCGAACCACACCGCCTCCCTTAGTCCTTGCACGGCCCCTTGCGGAATCAGTCAGGCCACAGGAGTCCTGGCTCAATCTGTCCGGCAGGGGCCTGAGCACACACAGGTAACAATTAACAGATAACTAGCCCAGGCCCTGGGTCAGGGCAGGGCAGTAAAGAGTTAAGGCTCAGGCCCTCAAACAGGGGCTGAGCAGCAGTTTATACAGATGCTCCCCGGGTTATGCAAACCCGACTTATGCAAACCCACACTTACAGAAAAAGTTCCATAAGTTCCGCAAGCTTTTTTTTTTTTTTTGCGTAATTATCGGGTATACGTCCCTGACTTATGCAAGGCGTTCTGGAACAGCCTTTGGGTCTGAAGCGAAGTCCCTGGGCTTCAAAATTTACCCTTATCATAGAATCATAGACTTTAAGGTCAGAAGGGACCATTATGATCATCTAGTCTGACCTCCTGCACAACGCAGGCCACGGAATCTCACCCACCCACTCCTGTAACAAACCTCTAACCTATGTCTGAGCTATTGAAGTCCTCAGATCATGGTTTAAAGACTTCAAGGTGCAGAGACTCCTCCAGCAAGTGACCCATGCCCCATGCTGCAGAGGAAGGTGAAAAACCCCCAGGGCCTCTGCCAATCTGCCCTGGAGGAAAATTCCTTCCCGGCCCCAGATATGGCAATCAGCTAAACCCTGAGCATGTGGGCAAGACTCACCAGCCAGACATCCAGGAAAGAATTCTCTGTAGTAACCCACCCCATCTAACAACCCATCTCAGGCCATTGGGCATATTTACCGCTAATAGTCAAAGATTAATTAATTGCCAAAATTAGGCTATCCCATCATAACATCCCCTCCATAAACTTATCAAGCTTAGTCTTGAAGCCAGATATGTCTTTTGCCCCCACTGCTCCTCTTGGAAGGCTGTTCCAGAACTTCACTCCTCTGATGGTTAGAAACTTTCTTGTGTTGTGACTATTCTGCTGCATGGTGGACACTCAAAGTGCATTTTGTATTTTGCCTCAGGAAGGACATATCCCCAATAGGTGTTCCATATCTCATTTCTTATTGAAGATAACTCCTAAAGATGAGAGAAGCTTGACGTAAACTATTATTCCTGGAAAACTTGAAGAGAGCCTCCTCAGATCCTGAGTAAAAGACTCAACCAGGCCTGAACAGGCTTCATCCCTAAGTGTTTCTGTGAGCCGTGATTCAAGTCTGAATTCCCAGGCTTTCTGATCAAAGACTGGCAAATCAGCTAAGTCCTCTTCCATCCAGTCAGCTAAAATGGTACGAAGAAACACCGTTCCTTTAAAGAGCATAAATCCAGGTCAACTTCCTCACGTCCTAGTAAAAAGGGGCATAGATCACCTGAAGGTGCTCAATAAATAGTAGTTCACAGCCTAAATCATGTAACTCTGACACCCTGACAGACCCTGGTCACCAAGCAATAGTACTGTCTTGAGCAGTGCTCTCTACCTCCCTTGTTCCTGACCCCTCAGTACTGACATCAGTACACCCAGTGCTGATAGACCCAGTACCCATAATCCCAGTACACTTGCTCTCAGCACCAATCTTGTCAACACTGAACTTTGTAAGGTGACTGCACAGCCTGAGTCTCTACTATTGTATACTAGTGTATTATAAAGTGCTGTCTATAATACTGACTGCTTCCACCATTACAGTACCAAGCACCTCTTCAGCATCAACTGTGAGTGACACTGTAGTTCGCCTGGGACCCCTGCCTATAGAGGAGAAGTATTCCATTTCTTCCTCCCAGCAGGGTGGCATCCTCTACTCACTCACCTCGGTCCCATTCATAAGACCTCTCCTGGTTGGGCAGAGTTTCGGACCCAATACTATAGGTGTGGGCATAGGGGATCTAAGGAAAAGTACTCATCATGGTACATCCCCCCAATGCCCACAGTCCCTTACTCCTATAATGTTAAATCATGGCCCTACTGGGCTTCTTGGGGCATGCAGCCAGCAAGGTCAGAAGGGAGACCTAGCAAGAAAACCAACCTTTACCTAGACCTTCCTCTATGCAAAATCCCGTAGGGTTATTCAAGAGGCATAGGTGGCGCTCACTCACACTGTTCAGCAAGAAAAGCAGGAAAGTGAAGATCAACATCTGCAAACTGAGGAACAGATAATTCCAGCAGCTATCTCCTCCTCCTCCCCAGATGAGGCAGTAGTGCCCACTACTTCTAGTCAGCCAGATGTTTACAAGATATTGCAAGATCTTCTGTGCCAACTGGCAAATACCCTGGAAATGCCTGTGGAAGTAGTGCCGGGAGAGTTGCCCAGGCTGGTTGACAACTCTAGGTAGCACAGTTGATGCTATAGTTGAGAGCCGTTTCCCTTCCCCAATCCCCTTTGGCAATTTTTTTATTTTCAGGAGCCTGGAATCACACCATCTCAGACCAGTAGGTCTTAGTGGGGTGTTCCTTTCAATTTCACAGCCTTCTGATTCTCACATATTCCCTGTCCCTCTTCAGGGACTCCTTATGAGAGACTATTACAGCAAGAAGAGGATTCGCTTCTAAATCTTGGAGCAATAGAAAAAGTGCCTCTGGAGTAAAGCTGGTAAAAAACATTTTTGAATAGCTGAATTTTCATCAAAAAATGCTGTTTGGCAAAGCCAAAATGTGTCACAGAAATGTATGGATGAAGTTTGAGAGAGAGAGTCTCACATTATATAACCCAGGGGTCGGCAACGTTCGGCACGCGGCTCACCAGGGTAAGCACCCTAGCGGGCCGGGCCAGTTTATTTAACTGCTGACGTGGCAGGTTCGGCCGATCGCGGCCTCCACTGGCTGCGGTTCGCCGTCCTGGGCCAATGGGGGCGGCGGGAAGCCGCGGCCAGCACATCCCTCGGCCCGCGCTGCTTCCCGCCGCCCCCATTGGACCGGGACGGCGAACCGTGGCAAGTGGGGGCCGTGATTGGCCGAACCTGCCACGTCAGTAGGTAAATAAACTGGCTCAGCCCGCTAGGGTGCTTACCCTGGTGAGCCGCATGCCGAACGTTGCTGACCCCTGATATAACCTGATGGTCAGGGCACTGGCCTGGGATGAAAAAAACTGTTCTGAATCAGGCATATCAAGGACTCAAATCGGATCTCACAAATCCCAGTCCAGTGCCCTAGCCACACACATGTGCCTGTCCTGTATTTAAATGCTCAGGTTCCTATCTGAAAATGAACAGTTTGACAAAATTCCTTTTGTGCAAAAATGTTTGAAAGGTTTTGGACTATTTTACAATGTGGAACAAAAAAACAATTTTGAAATATTAAAAATTGCCGTGAAACAGAATAGTCATCATCTGCCCAGCTGCACTCTGGAGTTCAGAGGGAAGTATTTTATTTTCATTATTTTCTAATTCTGCAAAACAAGGTGTGTGGGTGGGCGGGGGCTGGTGCCTAATCCTGGATTAGAGACGATTCAACACCTTCATCCACAGTTTTAAATTCAGCATAGTAACTCTACCCTGTATAATCCCATCCTTAGCTTCCCGGGACTGGTTCATGGTTCTTAATTTATAAGATGCTTGCTTTTACATAAAAAGAACAGGAGTACTTATATCAGAGCGGTAGTCGTGTTAGTCTGAATCTGTAAAAAGCAACAGAGGGTCCAGACGTCTGATGAAGTGGGCATTCACCCACGAAAGCTTATGCTCCAATACTTCTGTTAGTCTTAAAGGTGCCACAGGACCCTCTGTTGCTTTTGAGGAGTACTTGTGGCACCTTAGAGACTAACAAATTTATTTGAACATA